CCCCATAGTTTTTTTTTCACGATAGCTCCGAACACGCTGCCGATAGAGCTGAAACTTGGCATATCTGACTTTTGATTAAAGCTGCATCTTTTGACACCAACCACATTTTTGGGTCAGGTCAGGTCACTGACCTATGACGTCTTAAGTGAACCTCTGCACGGTCTTCAGATGTCGCAACTTCGCAACGCCCTCACTGCCAGAGGAGATGTCACAGGGAAATGAAACTTGCAGGATCTAGTATCCATTATGAGTCTCACAACTTGTGTATCACCAATTTTTCCTAAAGGTCATATGAGGTCAGGTCATTTTCGTGACCTCACCATTATAACTTATAAGTCAATGGGGAAAAATAAAAAAATGCTATTCTGGCGCCGGGAACGATCTCCAACTGTCTCATGCACACAGAATCGTGATTTGATGCACTCCTTGCAAGGTTAGATGCGTCACTTTTGCAATATTGACCTTGCGTAACGTCATTTATGACGTCATCAAGGTCATATTAGTTTTTCGTCAATAACTCCCGATCAAATTGAGCTAGCGAGTCGAGAAAGCCACCGATGGACTCAGGAAGACCTACTGAATCGAATGATATGCGACATGACCTCTTTCGACCAACTTCGTGATCTGGGGGTGCTGACCTGACCTTGACCTGAGGTCAACACCCTAAGTTGCTTTGACCCGAACAAAAAGTATAGCATTCGACGCGCCTGAGCAAGGCGAACACGATGCTGCCAAAATCGCGGCTCTGCGGCCGTTTTCTTGCGAAGTTATTCACCAAAAACTGAACAGTACCTTGGGGCTCTTGAACTGACCTCAGAGGTCACCGGTTGACCTAGGACTTTAAAATCAGGTACCAATCTCTGCATCTCGTAACGGCGCACACGCTTGTTTTTTTTTCGCGACGCGCTAGCTCCACCAGGGGCGAAACGGCGAGGGGGGAGTTGTACCCCCCCCCCCTCGGCCGGCGCGTATGTAGAAAACCAATAGGTCCGGCGAGGGTTAAGAGGATAAGCTTTTGTGCCTGATGCATTTATATTTCGAGTTGTTAAAATGAAACACTCGAATCTACCCTTGAAAATTGTTGACATTTGAATATTAACATCACGGGTTTCCTGATCAACAAACAAACTATTCAAACCTCACCCATATGACAACTTGGCGAAGTTGATAAATCTTGCTGTCTTATAAAAAGCAAATATTCAATTTGTTTCCATTGTTGTCATGTACCTACTTCACGAGAATGTATTATCAAGAAACCTACTTATGGTATAATTGCACTTCAGACTCCAATAACATCCTCCTAGATCCAAATCCAATGCCAAGCATCCAAATCTTGTGGCAAGGCCCTAAAAACAACAGACAAAAACAAAAACAGACAACGCCCTAAGGTCTTGTGAAAATCGTCAGTGCGGCGAAATTTCCCAAGGCTGCTCTTTGTTTACATTTTAGTAATGGGCCAACTTGACCGCCCAAGTACTTGTTTTGCCTAAGTACAAGTTTGTCAATTTTGAAACGGCTATAGCTCGCAAAGTTTAGTACATACCAATTTGAGTTTTATGCATATCGCTAGAATCGGCAGAGTTTGGGGAGTTCATTAACACGCGCAGTGGAAGGGGGGGCGGATTTCGCCCATCCCTCCTGTTTTTCGCCAAAAATTCGCGCCGCAAACAAAATATTAACCCGCGCCCGGCTGGGGGTCCTGGATTTCCACGCCCTGCTGGGGGGGGGGGGTGTTTGAACACCCCCCCCTTGTAACTCGGCTCCTGGGCCACGTAGCGATACGCGGAAGGCGGCGTTCGAAAGAGCGTCAAAAATAATGACGAAATCACTGCGGTCAATTTTTTGGTCAGGTCAAAGGTCAGGTCACCAGAGGTCGTTGAAGGCAAAACTTCGCCGATTTCCAGGTCGAATGTCGAAAATTTCCAAGAAGCCAACGCATAACTCGAGAATTAATAGAGCTACAGCGCCGCGGAAAAGCGCATTCGATAGCCCTATTAAAGCCCTTTCTGAGTAATTCTCTCAGATTTGACCTAACGTCAACAGTTTTGCCTGCAGGGGGCAAAAATTGCAAAAATAGCCGATTTTTTCGGAAACAGTTTTTCTGCAATAACTTTTGACTCAAGCCTTGTACGAACTTACTTTTACCGGCATTGTGTTCCTCTCGTCAAGACGCATCGAATGAACTATAAGTTGACCTTGAAAGGTCAACTTGAAAATTTGACCTCAGGTCAAGGTCATGACCTGACCGGAAAGGGTCATGTTGCATATCAGTCGATCCGTATCGTCGAGCTGAACACATCTAAGGCGTTTTCATCGCTCTAGCATGCCTCTATCAAAAGTTATTTGCGAAAAACTGTTAGATACCATTCGTGACCTAAGATGACCTCAGGGCATAAACAAGGGTCACGGACACCATTTTCATGTTCAGTGTGTCTAAACCACTTGTAATTCGGTGTTTGGGAGTGTTTGTAATGTCTTTTGTTCAAAAGAGGCGCATTTCAATTTTCTCCCATTGACTTATAATGGGGAGGTCGCAAAATTGACCTGACCTTAGGTCACCGATATTAAAATTCTTAGATATACATTTTGTACATGCTATTGCTCTTAGCAATCGCTGAAAGTTTCAAAGCGATCGGTCACTCGGTGTAGCTATGACAGACATTGAAACTTTTTATGAGGTGAGGTCACTTCAAGTGACCTGGTGACCTGACCTTGAATGACCTTGGTCTGAAATTTTCACAACATGTGTAGAATTGATGTACGATAAGGTGTACCAAAAACGGCGGCGCTCCGCGCCGCCGTTTTTGAGATATTCGCGAAAAACCACAAGGGGGGTGTTCAAACACCCCCCCCAGCAGGGCGCGGGTTAATGTGAAATTTTGGCTACCTGCCCAGAATTGAATTGCGGATCTTCTCGTGCAAGAAATAAGAAAATCGGCTCACAACTTTTCTAGTAAGAGCGATGTAAAGTCAAACATCTTGCCGCCGCGGCGGCGCGGCGGCGCGGCGGCCGGCGCTAGCCGTTACGCGCCGCCTGAATTGTAGACTGTGCCTGGGCGGGACGGTTCCGTCTTTACATCGCGCTCCTTACCGCTGATTAGATTAGATTCGCGTCAAATTTGGTGAGAAGACTGAGAAATGTACAGGGAATCATATGGTCAAAGAATTTTGAAAATCGGCCGGTAACAACTTGAGTTATGAGTGTGTAAACACAAAATTGTGATTGCCGCGTTTCCCGCGTCGGCCGATCCCGCTTCAGCCGGCGACATCTTACCCTTATCAGGCTTCTAACTGCCATATTTATTGTTGGGTTAATTAGAAATTCACCTTACATACTCACAAATGTTTGGTCTTTCGTATAATGAAAGAAAAAAGAAAATCGGCCGGTTACTTTTTGAGTTATCGGCGTGTAAACGCAAAAAAGTCGCTCATATGACAGATTTGACCACATTTGACCTCATTTGACCTTCTAGATATTGACCTAGGGTCATGAAATTCACACACAACAGAGTTCCCTATGGCCCTCACCTACCCTCCAAATTTCGTCTTTCTAGCTCCAGTGGGAGCTGAGATCTTAGGGGGGGCGACATCCGCCCCCCCTTCCACTGGGCGTAGTACTGGCAACCCTTCCACTGCGCGTGTTAATAGGCAATTTATGCCGATTACCGTCAATTTTGAAACCCTGATAACCCCTTAAGGCATGTTAAGTTGAAGTTAACCCGGCAGGCGGTGGGCCTACCAGCCACCTTCCGCGCGGTGGGGGGGGGGGGCATTTTTTGCCCCCCCCCGTATCTCCGAAACTACTGGGCGGATCCGGAAAATTCAAACGGGGTTCGATAGCCCTGTCAAATTTGTCGAGGGAAACCAAATTTCATTGACCTCGGGGTCACCGATGACGTCACAGGTCAGGTCAAAGATAAAATGTTTTACCGTTCACGGGGCTTCTAGGGAAAGCGCTATAACACCGAGTAAAACGCATTTTGTCGAAAATCAGCGATAAGGCGTCAGTTGTCTAGTGCATATGTTGCTATTAGAGGTCACTGGTCATACCAGGTCAGGTCACAGGTCAGGTCACCAAAGGTCACCAAGGGTCACCACATGAGCCCAGCTTTACTAAGCTTATGCGATGCATGTTTTATGGCCAGTTTTTCATTTCCAACTCAATGGTGTTGGTTATACGGCCATCAGGTACGGTTTAGGTCACTTTCTGGTGGAGGTCAGGTCAAGGTCAGGTCAAAAAAGGTCAAATTTCAAAGTTGATATTTTTGCATAAAATGGGTATCGATTCGATGCAGCTCGTCACGGGGAGTCTAATGGTGGTCTTGGTTTTGCGTTACAAGGTCTAGAATTGCTAAAAATTGAGTTTAAAAATTTGAGGTCATCAATTTTGAGCAGTTTTTTTTCGCTATAACTTGGCCAAAAAAAGAGGTATCGATTTCAAATTTGATATGTAGATAGAAGGCGGTAGGGACTATCACATATATTCCGTTTTTTTCGAAATTCAAAAAAACTTTTTGGAATTTTTGGCTATTTTATTCAAAAAATATATTTTTTTTATTTTTAGGGGTCAAAATCAAAAAATTTCGAAAAACCGAAATAGCAGTTTTGTAGCCCTATTGATCCCATATCTCTTATGTCTGAAACATTTTTCTGTATCTCTAAAGCTGTAGGCCTGACAGCTCTCCCCGCGAAACCTTTTTTTGGGTCGAAAATGGCAAAAATGACGTCATTCTGACGTCATTAGCGGCCAACCTATCATAGCCTTTGGAAAACATTTTTGGTCATCATGTGCGCTAGCTGCTCCCGGGAGGGTACTGAAAGTTTGGTGACGATCGGCGCAGCGGTTCTCGAGATATATTGAAAAAACTAAAGGAGGGGGGGCAAAAAAATGCCCCCCACCGCCTGGAAGGTTAACAAGATAACTATTTTCGAAAAACATAACCGACTCAGGTCTCCAGGAAGAAGGAAAGCCTTACATACATACCTGTCTTTGTTTTCAGGCCATTAGTGACCTCATCACGGCAAAAGACGAAGAGCTGAAAACGGCTGTCAATGAAGATCCCACTCGGGTTTTCGAGGAGGACCAAGGCAAACCCAAGGACTGGAGGGAAGTAATCGACCGCTCACTGGACAAAGGCTCCTTCAAGAGCTACAAGGAGACCACATCTGAGCTGCTTCGGTTGGTTCGAAATAAGGTGAGGGTCGGAGACACGCAAATCTCCTGACTTTTTTATTTTAGTCGCATGACGCTAATTACTACCACGATTCACAACATGATGTACCGTAAAGTGGGGCTATTTGAGACAATGGGGCTATTTGAAACAGTACTGTAGTGGTTTAGTAAAAACGCTGTACGTACCATGAAAACCGTTTCATATTTTTTATCGTTTTTGCTCAGGCTGGTGTGGAATTAAACGATGAATGCCATGAAAAAGTTTTTTTTTGAAAAGCTTGAATTTTTTTGAAAGAAATTTTGGCATTAAATGAGAAACACAGAAAAACCACAATTTAACCCTCACCGGCCGAGGGGGAGGCGGGTGCCGCCCCCCCCCCCCCATAGGTTTTTTTTCGCGATAGCTCCGAACGCGCTGGCGATAGAGAGCTGAAACTTGGCATACCTGACCTTTGATTGAAGCCGGATCTTTTGACACCACTCGCATTTTTGGGTCAGGTCAGGTCACTGACCTATGACGTCATAAGTGAACCTCTGCACGGTCTTCATGTGTCGCAACTTCGCAACGCCCTCACTGCCAGATGAGATGTCACAGGGAAATAAAACTTGCAGGATCTAGTATCCATTATGAGTCTCACAACTTGTATATCTCGGATTTTTCCTCAAGGTCATATGAGGTCAGGCCATTTTCGTGACCTCACCATTATAAGTCAATGGGGAAAAATGAAACTGCTATTCTGGCGCCGGAAACGATCTTTAACTATCTCAAGCACACAGAATCGTGATTTGATGCACTCCTTGCAAGGTAAGATGCGTCACTTTTACAATGTTGAACTTGCGTGACGTCATTTATGACGTCATCAAGGTCATATTAGTTTTTCGTCAATAACTCCCGGTCACATTGAGCTAGCGAGTCGGGAAAGCCACCAATGGACTCAGGAACACCTGCCGAATTGAATGATATGCGACATGACCTCTTTCGACCAACTTCGTGACCTGGGGGTGCTGACCTGACCTTGACCTGAGGTCAACACCCTAAGTTGACCTGACCCGAACAAAAAGTATATGATTCGACGCGCCTGATCGAGACGAACACGATGCTGCCAAAATCGCGGCTCTGCGGCCGTTTTTTTGCGAAGTTATTCACCAGAAACTGAACCGTACCTTGGGACACTTGACCTGACCTCAGAGGTCACCGGTTGACCTAGGACCTTAAAATCGGGTACCAATCTCTGCGTCTCGTAAAGGTGCACACGCTCGTTTTTTTTCCGCGACGCGCTAGCTCCACCAGGGGTGAAACGGCGAGGGGGGTCGTACCCGCCAACCCTCGGCCGGCGCGTATGTAGAAAACCAATAGGTCCGGCGAGGGTTAACCTTCGCCCCAGTGGGGGGGGGGGCATATGTTACCACCCTGTCGCGTTTTTTGCGTATGAATAAAAAACCGCGGCGCGTAGCGCCGCGCCGCTTGGGGTATTTTTTGGTACATCAATTTTGGACAATGTGTGAAATTTTTGACCCCAGGTCATGTCAGGTCAGGTCACCAGGTCAATTTAACTGACCAAGCCTAAAAAAGTTTGCAATCATGCCCAGCCTGCAGTGTTTGACAGAAAGGTTTTAAACTTGGTGGATTGCATGCTGTTATGGGCGCCTACAATTTGTATATCTCGGATTTTTTATATCCGTGACCTAAGGTCAGGTCAGTGGCGTGACCTTTCCTTTACAAGTGTATGGGAAAAATGAAAATGTCTCTAGATCCGTGTGTACGCATCGGAACAGTCCAAATATTTCAGAATCACAATGATTTAGTCCACTCGTGATGACCAAGGTGTCATTTTTGCTGATAGCCTCTAGACAGGTCATCCGAGGTCACTTGAGGCTACAAACAGTTTTTTGCCAATAACTCGCGATTGGAAAGAGATAGAACGCTGGGGATGGTCTCGTTGTGTTTGTCTTGTTGAGACGCATCGACTGATATGCAACATGACCTTTTCCGGTCAGGTCATGACCTTGACCAGAGGTCAAATTTTCAAGTTGACCTTTCAAGGTCAAATTATAGTTCATTCGACGCGTCTCGGCGAGAGGAACACGATTCTGGCAATAAAAATGTCGTGGCTTTTTGTTTTCGAAAGTTATTGCCGAAAAGAAACACTTTTCGTAAAAACAGCTATTTTTGGAGTTTTTGCCCTCTGGAGGCTAAACCCGTGACCTGAGGTCAATTTTGATAATGACCTTTTCAAAATCAGAGTTCAAGAGCTATCGATTGATTTGCCATGCGTTTTCCTAACTACCATAGTTCCTGAGATAACGTAATGTTTTCTGAAAAATATAATGACCATTGGCAAATTTTGACCTTTGATGACCTCTGGTGACCCCAATATTGCTCTAAGATGAAAAATGACCGAAATACTTTCAAACGTACGCATTGAGAGCTATCGACTGCTTTTTACTGCGTCTTTCTAGCCCTCTTAGTTTTTTAGTTAGAGGTGGGTGGTAACACATGCCCCCCCCCCCACTAGGGCGAAGTTGGCCGAGACCGCCACTGGGGCGCGGGTTAAGTTATACGAAAAACACCCCTACCTGCAGCTTAACATGGTTGAAGTTTTAAAAGCTTTGCAACCGAATCTATCATAACTACCTTTATACTTGGCTAAGTACATTTTTCATGGAGACATTATACCTATATTGTTAAGGGCAGACGGTAGTGACTATTGTGTAACCCAATGTCTCAGACGTTAGGCGGCGGCCGCGGCCATAACGGCCGGAGCGACACCAGCGCCACCATCGGCGGCCGGCCGGAACTATCGCAACGGATCCTATGCACGGACGTATAATTAAACTGGACCCGCAACCACCTCCATTCAGGTGAAGCCGACAAGGCGCCATTTTACGTTGCCAAAAACCCATGCTCTGAAAGGTCATCGAACCATTACAATTGGAATTGCGTCTAAACGGATGATCGGATCGAGATGCTGGTGGTACCGTTCGATGGGTAATGCTTTGAGGCAGGTGATGATGCATGACACAGGTCATTCGGTGTCACGTGGCGCGTGCCACGTGCCGACAAAGTCGGGAAGGGCAAAAACCTTTAAGCGACGCTCCAAATTAACCCGCGCCCTGCTGGGGGGGGGGGGGGGGTGTTTGAACACCCCCCCCTTGTGGTTTTTCGCGAATATCTCAAAAACGGCGGCGCGGAGCGCCGCCGTTTTTGGTACACCTTATCATGCATCAATTCTACACATGTTGTGAAAATTTCAGACCAAGGTCATTCAAGGTCAGGTCACCAGGTCACTTGAAGTGACCTCACCTCATAAAAAGTTTCAATGTCTGTCACAGCTACACCGAGTGACCGATCGCTTTGAAACTTTCAGCGATTGCTAAGAGCAATAGCATGTACAAAATGTTTATCTCAGAATTTTGATATCGATGACCTAAGGTCAGGTCAATTTTGCGACCTCCCCATTATAAGTCAATGGGAGAAAATTGAAATGCGTCTCTTTTGGACGAAAGACATTATAAACACTCCCAAACACTGAATTACAAGTGGTTTAGACACACTGAACATGAAAATGGTGTCCGTGACCCCTGTTTATGCCCTGAGGTCATCTTAGGTCACGAATGGTATCTAACAGTTTTTCGCAAATAACTTTTGATAGAGGCATGCTAGAGCGATGAAAACACCTTAGATGTGTTCAGCTCGACGATACGGATCGACTGATATGCAACATGACCCTTTCCGGTCAGGTCATGACCTTGACCTGAGGTCAAATTTTCAAGTTGACCTTTCAAGGTCAAGTTATAGTTCATTCGATGCGTCTTGACGAGAGGAACACGATGCCCGTAAAAGTAAGCTCGTACAAGGCTTGGGTCAAAAGTTATTGCAGAAAAACTGTTTCCGAAAAAATCGGCTATTTTTGCAGTTTTTGCCCCCTGCAGGCAAAACCGTTGACGTTAGGTCAAATCTGAGAGAATTACTCAGCAAGGGCGTTAATAGGGCTAGCGAATGCGCTTTTCCGCGGCGCTGTAGCTCTATTGGTTCCCGAGTTATGCGTTGGCTTCTTGGAAATTGTCGACATTCGACCTGGAAATCGGCGAAATTTTGCCTTCAATGACCTCTGGTGACCTGACCTTTGACCTGACCAAAAAATTGACCGAAGTGATTTCGTCATTATTTTTGACGCTCTTTCGAACGCCGCCTTCCGCGTATCGCTACGTGGCCCAGGAGCCGAGTTAGAAGGGGGGGTGTTCAACCCCCCCCCCAGCAGGGCGTGGAAATCCAGGACCCCCAGCCGGGCGCGGGTTAAACGGTGGACGGCACAGGTGCCAAATTCACAGGTCACATGTCCCGGTGTTTGACCATTACCATATGGTATGCTCGGCAGCAGGGGGTGCGGAATGCACGCGCCAGGGGCGAAAAACATGTTTTGAGGATGCATCCTCCGATTCCGGAAAACCTTGACTTAGGCACACCAAATTTGGTACACTGACACTGATGGACACGCGCTTTAAGGTGCTGTATAATTAGGCGTGCTTGGGTACACGGTGCACGTGCTGTGCACGTGCAAACCTTTTGATGTTGCACTCTGTGTCACACATGCGGGTAGGGCGGGTAGCGCTGGCAAGCTCAAAGTGCCAAATTTACACAGGCCACCCAGAATGCATTCCAGCATAGTTATTGAGCATATCTATCACCTGGTGGACCCCAAAGGTGCGCTCTGCACGTGCAAAAAATTATCCGCGCCGGGCGGTGGGGATGCTTGGACAGTGGACACCCCATGTAGGTTTATGTAAATATATCTCGAAAACGGCGTTGTGGAGCGCCGCCGTTTTTTAGCACACCCTTTCATGCATCTTTTTCACGCATGCTGCATAACTTTCAGACCCAGGTCACTCAAGGTTAGGTCACCAGGTTACGTCCAAGTGGCCTTACTTTAGGAAAAGTTATAATGCCCGTCATAGCTACACAGACTGAACAATCGGTCTAAAACGTTGGCGGCGATTATTAAGAGCACCATATAGGTATGCGTAAAGTATCTTATCCATAGTAAAGTATCTTATCCATAGTAAAGTATCTTATCCATAGTAAAGTAGCTTATCCATAGTAGGTGTCCACCACCTTTGATGGCGTCGTAACATGTTACGAATGCACTAAAACTATAACTTCTTAAA